TAAAGATTAGATTTTACTATTTTTAAATATATTTGTGTGTTTGTGTTGTGTGCTTGTGAGTGCAGGTACCTGTGGAGGACAAAGGTGTTCGGTCCCTGTGAGTTGTAGGGACAGGTGACGTCAGCCACTCAATGTGGTGCTGGGAACTGAATGGCAAACCCAATCCAATTCTCTTTTCTTTCTCTGGCTGGCCTGGAACTTGCTATGTAGACTAGGATGACCTCCAGATCATACAAATCCACCCGCCTCTGTCCACTGAGTGCTGGAATTAAAAGTTTGTGCTACCACCACCTAGCTACTCCAAATTTCTTAACCAAAGGCCTTTTCACAAAGAAAAATCAAGGGTCAGATAGTCTGAAGTCAATTCTTTCAAACATTTGAACAAGAAAGAAATACCAGCCTTGCATAATTTATTTAGAAAATAGACAAGGCAGGAAGGAGGGAGGGGCTAGAGAGATGATCAGTGGTTGAGAGCATTTGCTCAGTTCCTTTAAAAGAACTTCAGTTACATTACCAGCACCAACATAGGGTAGCTCACAACTGCCTGTAACTCCAGCTCCAAGGGGTTGCATGCCCTCTTCCAGATTCCTGGAGTACAGGGACACAAGTGACATTCACTTACACATATTCCCAGTACTCTCCAGGCAGAAGCAAGAAGATCTTCTCTGAGTTTGAGACCAGCTTGATCTACAGAGCAAGCTCCCCAACAGCCAAAGATACATAAAGAAACCCTATCTGGAAAAAAACAATCCCCCCCCAAATTAAATAAATCAGACAAGGGAAAGAGCTCTCAACTTTATCCATCTGACTAATTGTCTGCCTGTCTGTATGGTCATCTATTTACCCACTTAGGCACCCACCTGTCCATTTGTCCTCCTGCCTGCACATGCCTGACATGCCATTCTACTGAACTCCATCCCAAACCTTTTCATCTTGTCTGGGCCAACACTATCCTGATATAAACGAAAGACATCACATATAAGGAAGTACATTAGCCAGACAATACATGCTTATAGTCAATAGTGGGCTGAGGCAGGACAGTTACTTACTACAAGCTCCTGTCCTGCAGTGTAAAACCCCTGCCTGGCCCACTCTCCAAAAGGAAAAACGAGGCCAATATTTCCCACAAACAGAAGTGAAAACCCTAAAATACTGTCTTGTCACTGGGACATGATTTTTCTTGTGCTATTGGACTCCAGCTAAAATACTGTCTTCCAGGCTTCAAACGTGATCTGTGTCATAAACACTGTGGGGTTCTCAACCTTTCAGACTCAGACAAGAACTACAGCAGTGGTGTCCCCCAACCTGTGAACTGACTCTGCCGATCCTGAGGGAATATTGTGCTTCTAAAACCACTCAAGCCAGATATTTCTAGTAAGTCTCCATATACGTTCATGTGTTTTTGGGCTGGAGAGAACTTGGCCACTAAAGGCTAGGCTCATAACCAAAAATACACTTATATGTTTTCATGTGGATGTGATACATCTTGATATTTTTTTTGTATGTGATACATCTTGACATTCACAATGTAGACATGTACAGTCATCTCCTCTTGGATATTTATCCAGAAAAATCCTCAGTAATTCGCACACTATCATCTCTTCTGTTTATATCAGAAATCCCAGGCAAGGGATTCAGGAAAGAAAAGGCTGGAAAAGGTGTAAAGTAGTGGCTTTGTTTGTTTTTCACTTTTCATTAACATAATACTAGAGCACCTAACTTTTATAGGAATCTACATCAGTAGGAAATTCTGCCATTATATGATCCCACGAGATGGTAGGAGAAAAGAGAACCAAAGAAACAAGGTGGGTAGGCAGGGAAACAACACTGAGTAGCATGTTATCAAGCATGTTTCTTCTCTCCACAAAGAATCCAGCTCTACAGCTGATGGAATATGACAAAAGCTGCAGATCTAAAAAATGCTAACAACTTGTCTGCCACTAACAAAGAAATAAATCACAATGTGTTAGAGAATATAAGGCACATACTGGAGGCCTATCTTCTGGATGAAGAAACGGAACAGAAGTAAAAATGCTGTTATTACTGAATAATAATATAGAACCACAAAAGAAGCAGAGAACGGGGCCGGCAGGATGGCTCAGCAGGCAGTGGTGTCTGCTGCCTCGAACAATGAGCTCCAGGACCCACAGGGTGGAAGGACAGACCAGTATCTGCAAGCTGTCCTCTGACTTCACATGCATGCACATATACACACACAACAAATATATAAAAGGAAGTGTTTTTAAAAAGAAATAAGGAATTGATCAGTGATGAGAGACTTGCTTCTCATGTGCAAGACACTGGGGGCCAATTCCCAACAGCGTTAAAAAAACAACCAGTACCAAAACAAAGGAACCATTACATTATCTTTGCAAGTCAGACACGGCAGCCCACAGACAATGAATAAGGATGCAGCCCCTCTGTACCCATGTATATTTCACATCTGCAAAGACATAAATGGATGAAAGCACACACATGGATAGAATATAAAATATACATAATGTCCCAATGGACCTGAGGTAGGTTTGACTATACAAACTCTGCCCACGCTTCTTTCCAGGGTCTCAAGTAACTCAGGCTGGCTTAAAGTCTAGATCCTCCTGCCTCCACTCTTAAGAGCTGGGATTACAGACTCATACCACCATATTCTACCACGAGGCTTGATTTCTGCTTTTCAAAATGAAATCCTTAAGGAATTCTACTAATCCACAGGAATGTCTAAGATGTCTTCAAAGGTGAGTAAAACAAATTACTGAAAGTTTGTTCATTAATGATATTGTAATTTAATAAAAACAGCATACAAGAGAAAGATGCCATGCAACAGGGTTCAAGCAGAGGGTTTTTTTTTTTATTATTATTAGGGAAAGGGATCATAAAAAGGGGAAAGGAAGCCGGGATGTGGTGGTGCATGCCTTTACCCCAGCACTTGGTATGAAGAAGCAGGTGGATTTCTGTGAATTTGAAACCAGCCTGGTTCACAAGAGCTAGTTCCAGGACAGGCTCCAAAGCTACAGAGAACCCCTGTCTCGAAAAACCAAAAATAAAGGGGCAGGCGGGGAGAAGAGGCGAGACCAGCTCCAGACACAGAAGCAGCAGGAGAGAGGAGAAAGGAAAGAGGGGAAGAGAGACAGAGAGATGGAGGGAGGGCAGACAGCCAGGGGGAGAGAAAGAGAGGAGGATGGGAGGTGGGCAGGGCCCTTTTAAAAAGGAACATAGTGAATGTGCACAGGTGGTGCTTAGTGACTGCAGATGAGGGTGTATCCTGTCAGTACAAATGCCTGAATACTAACAATGACATACAACAAAAGAAGAAAGAAATACAATCCAAACATCCCTGTTGCCCATCCCCTGTATTTATCAGTTTAAACACAGAGGATACTGGTATGGCTTGTTGAGTTAGATTCCCTTCTGATGGCAAGAAGTCTCGATTCTGTGCTTTCATACTTTGTTGTAAAAGTCACAATATACATTTTACAAAAGTTTTACTTATTATTTGTGAGTTAGCACATGTGTCAGTTTGCGTGTGTGCATGTATGCACATTCATATATGTGCCTGTTTGAATTAAAGCATACCACAAGGGCTGGAGAGATGGCTCAGAGGTTAAGAGCACTGACTGCTCTTCCAGAGGTCCTGAGTTCAATTCCCAGCAACCACATAGTGGCTCACAACCATCTGTAATGAGATCTGGTGCCCTCTTCTGGCGTGCAGACATACATGGAAGCAGGATGTTGTATTCATAATAAATAAAAAAATCTTAAAAAAAAAAAAAAGCATACCACAAACATACAGGATCCCATCGAGGCCAGAAGAGGGTATTCCGTAATCTAGAATGGGAGTTGCAGACAGTTGCTAGTTGCTATGTGGGTGCTCGGGACTGAACCTGGGTCCTATGCAAGAGGAGTTAAGTACTGACACTGGTCCTGTGATATATTCTTTAAATTTGAAAAAATAATAAAGGCAGGGTATAGTAGCACATGCAGGTAAGAGACAGAAAGATTAGGAGTCCAAGGTCATCTTTACTATAAGTGGGAGTTTGTAGCCAATCTGAGCTATGAGAGCCTGTCTCAAAAGAAAGAAAGAAAGAAAGAAAGAAAGAAAGAAAGAAAGAAAGAAAGAAAGGAAACAGAAAAAAGAAAAAAGCCAGACTTATTGACACATGCCTTCAATTCCTACACTAGAGAGCCAGAGGCAGGAGCATCTCTGAGTTTGAGAGCAGCCTAGTCTACAGAGTGAGTTCTAGCAGGACAGTGAAGACTACACTGAGAAACTGGGAGGCAGGGAGGCAGGGAGGGAGGGAGGGAGGGAGGGAGGGAGGGAGGGAGGGAGGGAGGGAGGGAGGGAGGGAGGGAGGGAGGGAGGGAGGGAGGGAAGAAATAAAGAAAATATGATGAAATTTTAAATTAGAAGAAAAAGATACCATTAAAACAGAAAATAGGCAAATTGCAAATGAGCCAGAAAAAAATTTAAACAAAAAAGTTTAAAAAGAAAAACTGAGCCGAGAACAAGACGAAGCCTTTATTTTAACACCATCTGTAAGCTGTGCACATTTAAGCTTTACTTCTAACTCACAAGCACAGCACACATGCTTACTACATGTGAACATCTGAGCAAGGCTGCATACAAGCTCCTTTCTGCCAGTTTTGGCTCTAACACCAGAACTTTCTGCGACACACACAAGAACATGGCATCAGGCTTTCTGGGAGATCTCTAGTAGTCAAGCACTATTTAAAACTAAATGCTATCAGGCACAATGGTTCATGCCTGTAGAGGATTGAGGATTCAAGGCCAGCCTCAACTACTCAGATAGTTTGAGGCCAGCCTGGATTATTCGAGATTCTGTCTCAAAGGAAAAAAAAAATACACACACACAAGAAACAGAGAACACTGAATAGTTTTGTAACAAGCTGCTATACTGTCTTTCATAGTTGGTAGGTATGAATGAAATCACAGAGCTCACAGATTGTACAAGGGCATAGGGATGGCCTTAACAAGTACTCACTTTCACCGTTTCTTCTGTGTTAAGCTTATTTCCTTTCACCAAGACAATCTGGAAAGGGTTGTTGTTGTCCCAGACATGCTGTAAAGGAACAAAATAAAGAGAGGCTTTTCATTGAGAGAAATGATTGTGGCTTGACAGCTGTGGTGGCTAGTCGTATGTCAACTCAACCCAAGCTACAGTCATCTGAGAAAAGAGAACCCTAGTTGAGAAATTACTCCATAAGATCTGGCTGTAGGAACCTGTGGTGCACTTTTTAGATTGACGTAAAAGGGCCCAGTCCATTGTGGGTGGTGCTACCCCTGGGCTGGTGGTCCTGGAGTCGACAGAAAAGCAGGCTGAGCAAGTCATGGGAGCAAGCCAGGCAGCAGCATCTCTCCATGGCCTCTGCATCAGCTCCTGCCTCCAGGTTCCTGCTGTTTGAGTTCTTGCCTTGGCTTCTCCCAAAGAACTGTGACTCAGGATATGTAAGCCAAACAAACCCTTTCCTCCCCACATGGCTTTTAGTTATGGCATTTCATCACAGCAATGGTAACCTCGAGACACTGGTCATAGAAGACTTTCAGTTCTCACAAACGGCAAATTTCTGAAAACAGAGCTCCAACCTAACAATTAAAAATCATAAATACTGCCAGGCGAGTGGTGAACACCTTTCATCTCAGGACTCCAGAGGCAGAAGCAGGTGGTTCAAAGCCAACCTGGTCTGGAGAGTGAGTTCTGGGACAGCCAGAAACCATATCCTGAACTCCATCCCTCACTGCCCCCCCCCAAATAACCATAAATATCCAACTAAGCATTATTAATCATTAGCACTTGATTTTTATGCCTGTTAATTCTATGAAGTGAGGGAGAGAGGTAGGCAGGGAGCAAAAAGATGATGTGCTGGCTCACATCTGTAATTCTAGCACATAGGACGCTGAGGCAGGAGGATTGTCATGGGCCTAAACTAAATAATAAGTTCCATGCTAATGGGGGAAGCCCTTCTGTGTGTATGTTAATAAATAAAGCACTGTTGGCCAATAGGGAAGCAAGATAGGTGGGATTAGGAGTCGAGAAGGATTGGGAAATGTAGTCAAGGTGGAGAGTTGACATGTGACCTCAGGAACAGAGGACACATGAGGCTGCGTCCTTGGTAAGATAAAACCTTGTAAAAATACATAGATTAGTAATTATGGGTTAATAATTAAGTCAGAGGTAGCCAATGAGAAACCATAACAAATGGCCAACAGATTCATAACTAATATAGTGTTTCATGTGTTATTTGGGACTGAGACATCGGTAGGACCCAGGCGACTGAAGAGTTACACCATTCCAGCCTGAGTCCACAATAAAACACTGTTTCAACCCCACACTCACCCCGAAATGGTTTTAATAGGTTAAGTTGATAGAAATAAATATGCTACACTTAGACAGCTGAGGCAAGCTTGTCACAGATCAGGGAACAGAGCTACAAGCAAGCAAGACTCTGTCTGAAAAAAGAAACAAAAGGTAAATATACTGGCTATTCAAATATTTCATGTCCTATGCCTCAAGTTGATAAAGTGTAAGTATAAAGTCTAGTCTGCTAGTGTTTGGTGTGGGAACACTAAAAGTGCCATGCAGATGAAAGCCCTTTTTCAAGTGAATGGCAATGAACTTTTGGTAGATGTTGGTTTTTACAGAAGGAGAAGTGAGCAAAGGAAGCAGGTCTGAGACAGCAAGCGCACAAACTGAAAATCACGTGACTTTGGGTTTACCAAAGTGTAAGACAGGGATCTTACAGAAATAACTCGTGTTTTCTTTGGTGGTAAAGGGAGAGGAAGGTTGGATGAGTTTCGGTTGATGGCAGCCTCTATGGCAATCATTTCTTGCTCATACATCTTCTTGATCTTACAACATTCCACAAGGATGAAATGGGGCAGGGTCCTATTCATTACACAGTTCCGGATGTACTACAGTAGCAAAGGAGACAGATTTTTCAGGCAAACACATAAAATAACAAAGGAAATTTATCTCAAGAACACTATACTAAATGTATAGTATAGGTGTGTTATACAATTCAGTATCAAGAAAATAATCATTTGAAATCACAAAACAGGAAGGCTGGAGATGGCTCAGAGGTTACCGGCTGCTTGTCTAGAGGACCTGGATTGGATTCCCAGCACCCACATAGTAGTTCATGACTCTAGCTACAGGTCCAGGGGATCCTGAACCCACTTACTTCCGTGGGCACAGAATGCAAAAGGTGTATATCTATACACATGGGCAAAACACTCATACACATAAAAGAAAAATAATTTTAAAAACATTACAACACAAGAGCCACATTGGGTAAAGAGCCACATTTATGCTTGACCTACATGGTGGTAAGAGAGGAACAACTCCCATAGGTTGTTCCTTGGTCCCCACAAGCACACCCTGGTGAACATAAATACACACAAAGTAAATGAAAATGTAATAAAATTGCAACACAGTGACTGGCATGGTGGTGCATTCTTGTGGTGCACCGCTAGGAAGCTAAAGTCAGGGACCACAAGTTTGAGGTCAGCCTAGGAAAACAGCAAGCTAGCCCAGTATGAGCAATATAGAGACGCTATTTGGAACCAGATCAGCTGCCCCACAGGTACAAGGAACTCAGTACAATCACCAACATCAAACAATCAACCAAACAGTCAACAACAAAATCCCACATAAAGTAGCTACTGTTAATTGAGCACCTAATTACCTAGGAACCAAGAGAGATGTAGACAAATGGCTATTCTTCTTAAGAGATCCACTTCACAGTCTACAGCCATGATGAGAACCAGAAAGGGATAACTCATACACCTGTATCTCTAAGACCCAAATATAAATCAATTTTTCTGGTGCCCAGGTCACAGTTTGGCCAATTAGCAACAACAAAAGAAACAAAGAAATGAAAAACTAAAAGAATCTTTTCTTTAAAAACGTATTATTATTCTGTTTATGTGCATAATGTATGTGTGTGGGTTTGCATACCATGCTAGCATATGCAAGTAAGAGGCAACTCTATGGAGTTGCTTCTCTCTTTCCACCTTTATATGAGTTCCTGGGATCGAACTCAGGTCCTCAGTATTACTCAGCAACCACCTTCACCTGCTGAGTCATCTTGCTGGCCCTTAAAAAAAGAAACTTTTACTTTTCCTACAAGATGCTTATAAGTATCTACTTAACAAATACTTTTTTTGAACTTCCTCCAGAATATATAACTTAACTCATATGTTTGCATAAAGAAAGAGTAAGCAGATATGCATAACAAACTGTGTTCCAAATTTATAATGCTATAGGAACTGTTGAGCACTGACATAGTCCACAAGCAGAGTACCCATACACAGACATACATTCACATGTACAATCATTGTGCTCAATGCAGACATAGCTTGAAAAACAAAGACAAACACTTGCCCACACTTTAGTAGTGATTACTTAGGAGAAGGGTCCAGTAATTGAAGCTAAATATATAAGTTCTGCAAAGATTTCTGTGGGTTCCAAACATTCCCTCCGTCATACACTTCCTGAAAGATGAGGAAGCTAGAGGTACCATGTATATTGCTCTAATGAACAGTCAGTCAAAATACATACCTGGAACTGAATCAGAGGATGCTCTCCGAATACATACTCCACTCTCCCGCTGACTTGTAATACACAGTCATAGGGGCTAACTTCATCTTCCTTTCCGTGAATAGTCAAGCGTTTCTGGATTGCCAATTCATTTATTTTTATAGGAGTCAAATTGGGAGACACTTGAAAACTAAATACATCCTAAAAAGACAGAAGGCAGAAAATGTGCTAGATTTTATGCTTAGCATAAAATTGTGATGTGTGTGCAAACACCCTTTGTGCTTTACAGTCCAGTAAATTGTTATATATGGTAAACACGTACATAGATATCATCTGTTTTCTGATCATTTGTAAGTCATGTTCCTGTATTCTGAGTGTCACAGTTCCCAACGCTAAAGCTGCTTACACGGTGGCATCCTCCTATATTCCCAGCACTTAGGAGGTAAGAGTCAGAAGATCAGGAGGTCAGGGTCAGCCCAGATACTTTCTGTTGGTATACTAAGTTCATTCTTTGGATAATACACTGGTCATTTAAAAAACTATATTCCTTGAGGTGCCTCCTGGTTTTATGAAAATAAATGTGATATATATGACTGTTTACTATTTCTTCATGTAAATGTATTATTTAAATGTCATAATCATTTGTTTTGTCTCAAAGAAAAAAAGGCCCACATCAAAAATTAATAGGTAACAGGCCAGCGGATAGTGTCCTATTAATCATTACAAAACCTGGGCTAGGGGTACAGCTCAGCAGCAGCCTCTACTCACCTAGCATGATGGCCTGGTTGTATTTTATTGTTGTTTGTTTTGTTTCCAGTTTTAGACACAGAGTATCTCTGTGTAGCCCTGGCTGTCTTGAGTCTAGCTCTGTAGTCCAGGCTGGCCCTGAACTTAAAGAGTTTCACCTGCTTCTGCCTCTAGAATTAAAGGAGTGCATCAGTAGGCCATGGCCTAAGTTCTGATGTCCAGCACAGTGTGTGTGTGTGTGGGGGGTCCTGTATTAGTAATTGGCAAGAAAAGAACCATACCTTATTTCTGATAAGTCATAAATTAATGATTTCTGTCCAATTTTATAAACACAGAGACAGAGGCAGAGAATATGCCATTGGGGATTGACCCTATGGCCATGTGTATACTAGATAAATGTCCTACTTCTGAGCTACACAAATAAACACCAGCCAAAACAACAGGGGTTAGAGCTCTAGTTCAAGTGTTTGCCTGGCAAGCATGAAGCCATGGACTCAAATCTCAGTGATACATAAACCAGACTAGCGTGTACACCTGTAAGGCTCGTACTGGAGACAAGGAGATAGGGAGATTAAAAGTTAAAGGCCATTCATGATACCTGCTTGAAAAAAATAAATATAAAAGAAAGAAAATGGGGGGGGGATCATGTTGACTAGGTTTTTACTTTTTCTCTCCTGTTTAAAGTATCTGGAGATGGTCAGCAGTTAGGAGCACTGGCTGCTCTTCTAGAGAACCTGGGTTCAATTCCCAGCACCACTTAGCTGTCTGCAACTGCAGTTCTGGGGAATCCAATGTCTTCTTCTGGCCTCTGTGGACATCAGGTATGCATGCAGTGCACATGCAGGCAAAACACTCACACATATACAATAAAATTAAAATGTCACGTAAATTTTTTCATTGTAAAAAGCAATTAAACAGTTCAGTTCGACAACTCGTTTCTATACTATTATAACTTATCAGAAAACGCTTGTACAAAGGTTTGTTGTTTGGATAGTCCCGTGTAAATATAAGCTAAGTTCATTGACTCTATAAGGTTTTTTTGTGTTGTTTTTGTGGTAGTACTTTCTAAGCAAGAAGTGCATCTAAGACTGCAGCAGCAGTCAGGAAAAACCAGAGTCTGATTATAAAAATCATAATAACCAAATACTACCTGGCTATTTTCAAAATGCACAGCCACAATCAGCTTCCCTCCATACAGTTTATCTTCCAAGTTCTCCAGGACAGACGGCTCATGCTCTGGTGGATATGTATGCTTTAGCCAGTCAATCCAAGACAACCCCACTAGGGACTGAATCTTGTCCTCACTGAATTTGCGCATTTTTCTTCTAAATTCATTAACTTCAGGATCCTTCAAGGCATCAAATTCATGAAGACCTAAAGAAATTTGTAAAGATTCATTTTTTTAGTGCATAATAATAATTTTTTGGAAAAGAACACAAAATGTCTCCAATATAAGCTAAAATAACTTGGATATCTGTCTTTCGCCAAGCAGACAAAAGATGACAAACAGGCATATTAAGTCTCATGTATGAAAGTCTCTTCCTATTGAATCTCTAAAACCCACAAATTACATTGTTATGCAGAAACTCAGACGGGTTACCAGTGTCACAACCATCGAAACTGGGCATGGAGGCACACCACACCGGTAACACTGGTAAAATTGGGGGTGGAGGCAGGACAGCGAGGGTCACAGAGTAAGCATGTACACACTCACAATCGCACAAATGTATAGGAAAAAGTAAAATCCATGACACACAATTTAAAACCACATGATAAACGGGCCAATAGATTTTCCTGGAAAGTATTACATTATTGTAAATTACATGTGAATGGCCTATAATTTTTGTAGAAACATTTGAACTCCCAGAAGATATATGTCTAACCAGCCACATATGTCCCAGGATAGATAAGAATGTGTCCCAACACAAAACATTTGAGGGGTGGATAACTTCTGCATGGTTCTTGACCATGAACTCTGTAGGTGATAACATCATGTTGCCTACAATGGGAGTTTTAGAGTGCACAGTTAACATTGTTCTGTTGATAGATAATATCAATAATATTGATGGATACTACAGAAGAGGAAACAGAAATGTGTACCCAGTAACAAAAAAACAAAATCTTACTACAAACTATGTCTAATCCGCCTCTTTCTGTGGGATTTGGGGGTGTGGGAGAATAGTTGAGAGAGGATTTTACCAAATGGCCAGACTGCTCTCAAATTCAAATTCAAGGCAATCCTCATGCTTTGGCCAGACAGCTAAAACTGCTGGATGCACCGCCATACCCAGCTCTAAAATGCCTTTTAAATGTCTCTACATTGTCTACCTTCCTCAGTTTCTGCAGCCATCAACTAATCCTAGCCCTCAGCATCTCTCCTTCAGGGAACTATCACAACTTTTTCACAGATTGATTTCTTGAAGCCTTTTAAATGAAAAGTTACATACGTTTATTTGTTTGCTGAAAGGGTAGACACATACATGAATGCATGCATGAGCGCACGCACACACACATCAGAAGACAGTATGTGGGAGTCGGTCTCTCCTACCATGTGGGTACTAGGATTCAACCTTAGGTTATGAGCTTAGTATTTGGTGCCTTTACTCACTAAGCAGCCTCACCAGCCTTCCACTTGAAAGTCTAACCTCTCCAATCGTACAGTTTGAACAAGCTTTCTTAAGTGATAATCTGATCACGTTACTTCCCGTTTAAATTCTCTCGATGAAAGTTTCCCAGATGGGGCTGGAGAGATGGCTCAGCTGCTAAGAGTGTGTGCTGCTCTTGCGAAGGACCAAGTATGCACACAGCACCTACACCAGGCGGGGGGGGGCTCACAACTACCTGGACCTCCAGCTCCGGAGAATCGGACACCCACTTCTAGCCTTCACTGGCACCTGCACTCTCTTACACATACCTAAACCCAAACACAGAATTCAAGAAATGAGACCAGAGTCCAAGCCACTAACTGGGCCAAGAGAATGTTCACAGAACCCAATGAAAATGAACTCCAGTCCTCAGCTCTAGCACAGACCTCTGGAATGTCACGACCTTCTTTGGAAAGGTTTTCTTGTGTGAATGTTTAACTTTTGCCCATTCTCTTGAATTATCAGGAAAAAAAGTTCCAGCTCAACCAGGATAAAATGAATCCTTCCATACTGATGAACATCCCAGGTCAGTTTGCTCCACTAAAATTACACGTAGAATTTAAGGCACCACAGCAGATTTCGGTATCTTCCATGTCACCCAAGTTCAGACATGTCGCTAGATCTGAGGAGGTAAGAGTGGGACTACTGGTTTTGGAGATAGTCTTGAAGATCCATCACAAAGTAAAGTAATGAGACAAGCATGCTTCTCTACGGAACAGACCCTGTCCACTGTAGAGCGGCGGGATGCTCATGAATGAGAGGCTGCATCGGGTTACTCTTTGTTAGAAGGACACATGAAAAGGAAGTGGGGGAGGGCTCCCAAGAGCTTTGTAGTAAATCCAACTTTTCTGGGCGATTTTCCCTGCTCTGAGCTACCGTGTACCTGATTACTCTTTGCTCTTTCAACAACCATTACCAAGTCCCTCATCCTTTGAGGCCATTTTTCAGATTCCATTCCCTTTTGCTCACCTTGCCTATAACCCCCTTCACCTGCAAAACCCCTCCTCAGCACGACACCTATTTAGAATTACAGTCTCCCAGCAGCCCTTCCTCAACCCACCAGTGCACTTACGACAGTGTCTTGCGACTGGGCAGTATATTTACCACACTCTAGTTGTCTGCTTACTGAACCATCATTTCCCACAGTAAGTACAAAGATTCAACACACACTGAAATGGAAATCATTATGGAGCTCGTAATAATTTAACGTGTATGTGTGAGGGCTTATGCACATGTGTGTACACGTATGCAAGTGAGGGCCAGCAGACAGTTTCAGGTGTTATTCTCAGCAACATCCTCCACCTTTGAGAAACATCTGTCACTGCTCTGGAGCTCACTAACTAGGCTAGACTGGGCAGACAACAAACCCCATGATCCTCCTGTCCCTGCCTCTTGAGTGCTAGGATGACAAGCATTTGCTCAGCATTTTGTAGTTGTTTGTTTGCTTGTTTGTTGAAACAGAGTCTCTCTATGTAGTCCGGACTGTCCAGGAACTTGCTATGTAAACCAGGCTGACTTCAAACTCACAAAGATCTTCCTTCCATGCCTCTGTCTCCCAGTGCTGGCTGGGATTAAAGGTGTTCACAATAACACTTGATATTTTGAGAACCACTGCAAGAATCTTCCAAAAATAAAATTGGGGGTGGGGGGAGGGGCAAAAGATGCTTGCTGCCCAGGCTGATGGCCGAATTTGATTCCTGGACCTACATGGCGGAAGGAGAGAATGGAGCCCCTCAACTTGTTTTCTTTCTTTCTTTCTTTTTGGGGGGGGGTTTGGTTTTTTGGTTTTTACGAGACAGGGTTTCTCTGTATTGTTTTGGAGGCTGTCGGTCCAGCCTGGCCTCGAACGCACAGAGGTCCGCCTGCCTCTGCCTCCCAAGTGCTGGGATTAAAGGCGTGCGCCACCACTGCCCGGCTTCACAACTTGGTTTCTGACCTCTACATGTGCACAGACAAGCACACACATAAATAAATGCAAACAAAAAACCTTAATTAAGTTTTGGAGCACGTGAGATGGCTGCGTGTGTGAAGGAGCTTGCTGCACAGACGAATGTTCTGAGTTCAATCCCCAGAACTGAGAGGGAGGAGGGAAGCGACCTGACAGCTGTTCGCCGACTCCACATGTGCACTCGTGAATCCACACACTTAACAATAAAACCTTAATGCTGTAAAAATTAGGATCTAAGGCTAAGCATAGTGGCATACTTGTGACGTAAAAGCAGGTGGAGTCCAAGACCAACCAGCATGTTTTACATAGTAAGATAATAAATTATTTATTATTTAAATAAATGTCTGTAATCAGAGCAATTTGAAGGTAAAGACGTGACTATCTCAAATTAAGGACAGCGAGGTCTAGATACGCTGGTTCCAGGTCAGCCTGAATAGTACAGCAAGACCCTGTCTCAAAAATAAAACTACTATGGGCTAGTGTTCTTGGTACCAGAAGGCACTCTGCATGCTACCAAAGGAGGAAAGCACATGCCGATCCAGCTACAAGCCCTTCAATCTACTGTGTCCAAAGTAAGCTAGGGCAATGGTAAGCACAATGTTTGTAGATAACCACCAATATCTGATTTGATTTAAGACACCCTCCATGAGATGGATCCATTACCCGATACTGTTTGGGTAACCAAGACCCTGGGACTAGACAGTCCAGGGACTACGGTTCTACTAAAGGAACACAGCATTAAAATCCTAATTATAGTCTGCTATACTCATAGATCAATGTCTTGTCCAGCCATCATCTGAAAAGCTTCCTCCTTGAGCAGATGGAAACAAGACAATATGCAGAGAGGAAGAGACCTTGGACACTCAGCCCTAAACAGGATCCTTCCATCAAATCCCTCCCCTCAGGGCTCAGAGAACCCTGAAGAAAACAGCTGTAGAAAGAGTGTAAGAGTCAAAGGGGACAGAGGACACCAAGGAAACAAGGTCATCTAAACACAGCAGCACATATGAACTCAGAGACTGAGGTAGCAGGCATAGGGCTTGCTCAGGTCTGCACCAAATGGGGACCTACAGCTAAGAGAAGTGGATACATGCTACCATCCCAA